TTCCCCCCCAGTATTCAATTCAAGCGTGTAGAGTCAACCTTTTTTGTGAGCTCAATTCAACCTCTGACTCATTCGTTAGATGTAAACGAATCACAGGTCGGAGTGAGTCAGGGTTGTTCTCTTGGGATAAAAGATAATATAAATAAACTCTTGGTATCAATTCTTGTCACAAGAAACAATACTCACTGTCTTTAGCTAGTCTTTCCTTACATTTTTCTTTCCTTGCATCTGCTGTGGGAGGGGACTATTACAAAGTTACCAAGGCCATTCTTAATAAAATGAAGTTTTTAAAATCTATTCATTTCTAGCTAAGTGATAAAGTAATTCTTTATGAATGAAATTATATAATCAGAGTGGATTATCTAAAATACACTATTCCATCAACACCTTTCCATCACCGCACTCTACCACCGCGGGTGCGGATATCATCGGGGGTGCGGGTCGTCCCTAGCGGATGACAGGGTTGTGGGGTTCAGTTATAAAATCTTTAGAACACCATCTTGGTTATATGATTCAGAGTGAGTATTTGGAGCACCGATTTTATTTTTACCAATTTTAATTAATTGTAGTACTCTGTATTATTGTATTTCATATTGTTTTATTGTTATAATCTGGCATTTTATGCCCTTGTTAGCTGCCCTGAGCCTTCGGGGAGGGCGGGATATAAATCCAAAGAATATAAATAAATAAATAAATGCCATATTAGAAACACTTTAGAAAGCCAAAAAACGTAACACTATATTACCGATGCCCTAGGGTTGCCAGCCTCCAGGTGGGACCTGGAGATCTCTTAGTATTACAGTTGTTTTCCAGGCAATAGAAATCAGTTCCCCTGGAGAAAATGGCTGCCTTGAAGGGTGGACTCTATGGCATGGTACTCTGTTGAAGTCCCTCCCTTCCCCAAACCCCACCTCTGCAGGCTTCACTCCCAAAATCTCGAGGTATTTCCCCAACCAGACCTGGCAACTGATGGCCTGACCTGCAAGGCCCAGGATGGTTCGATCTCATCAGATCTTGGAAGCTAAGCAGTGTCATCCCTGGGGAGCACTTGGATGGGAGACCATCAAGGAAGTCTAGGGTTGCACTGCAAAGGCAGGCAACAGCAAACACCTCTGAAGGTCTCTTCCCTTGAAAACCCGGCTATTATAAGTCAGCTGCAACTTGACAGCAAATATATGATTGACTAGTCTTTAAGATGCCACCATATTTATAATTCCATATCAATGCTGTGACAAGCATAGAGATCTCAAGTATTAAACAATGTTCATCATGACCCTAGAATCAGTTGTGAAAAAATGTCATCTCTGAAAGACCATTTTAGTACTAAATCTCAATCCAAAAGCACAAGCACAGGTCACGTTTCATCCTTGTTGATCTGTCCAAAATACCTCATATTCTTCTTCCCCCTCTAGCTTCTTCTATTGCTTTCCCATCTACTGCTACATCAACTGAGTATTTTGTCAACCAAAAGTTTCACATTACCACCCCATTTTCAGTGTGTTCTCTCATCACATTTCATTGCTACCTTGTTGACCTTAGTACAGCACACCTTTATTTTTCTCTGCTTCTCCTTTGCAACCTAATGCACTCTGCTCTCAACCTTTTCCTTCAGAACTAATGTTCTGCCCACAAATAATCCCCCCCTTTAAGAACAAACTCCTACTGTGTAACCTGCACTGAAGCAAAATAAATTGCCTTTAAAAATAAATGATTGCAGGCTCTCTTTTCCTTAACTATATCTATTGCTCTAATTTCCATGACTGTGACCTTCACAGGGTACGAAATGTCCTTTTCTTGACTATTCATCTTGACTATCCATTAATCATACAGCAGTATGTGACAAAGCAACAGGCTCCACCACTGAGCGTCATTCAGAAGGTAGCTGCTCATACAGTTCAACACATTCCTCTTACAGCCACAGAATGGCTTGGAAAAGAGGAGGAGGAGAAGGAGGAGAGGTGATTGGATTTATACCCCACCCTTCACTACCCAAAGGAGTCTCAGATTGGTTTACAATCCCTTCCCCTTCCTCTCCCAACAACAGACACCCTGTGAGGTAGATGGGACTGAGAGCTCTCTCAAGAACTGCCCTTGAGAGAACAGCTTTGAAAGAACTTATGATTGACCCAAGGTCACACCAGCAGCTGCATGTGGAGGAGTGGGAATCAAACCCAGTTCTCCTAGATTAGAGTCCGCGCTCTTAACCACTACACCAAACTGGCTCTCCTTTATATCCATTGCTCTGATTTTCTTCTGATTCCAGAAGAATCTGGAATCCTTATCTGATAATGAATGCAAAATAGAGATCCACAGATGACGTTTATTCCCTCCACTGTCACTTTCCCTCTTTTCCTTCCCTGCCCTTCATCCTTCAATATCCTCATTGTTTATTTTTTTTAAAAAAATTAACAGTTAAACAACAACGCAAAGACAAACATTAGTAGCTGTAGCCTGCCTATTGGGATTGCAAACAGCATTTTAGGCAAGTGCAAAACAGAGAGTCCAAAAAGTTAGGGGGCCTTTGGAGACTTGTGGCGGAACGGAAATCCCGTCACCCCCTGTGGCTCTCTTCTCATGTTCACATCCTTGCCACCTCATGCTTTCCCCACTCTTGCCCTTGCTTTCCCGTTCGTTCTTGGCTCCCATGCTTTGTCCCGGCTAGCCCCCACATATCCTCTCTGCAATGCCTTCAGTTCTGTTTCCCTCCCTCTTGCCCTTCTGACTTCATTTCTTTCTCACCCCCAGTCCTGTTGTTCCACTTCCTTCTCCAGTCCACTCTCACCAGCTGCCACTTTCCTTCTCCTTCTGCTCTCCTCTCCCCCTCACAGGGCCCAGGGCTTCTTCCCTTTCTCTCTCTTATGCCTAACTCCTGCTAAGAAATTGCTCTTGACATTTTGGGTGATTTAAGCCTCTCTCTTTATATTTTTCTGCAAAGCCTAGGTTTCCACTGGGTTCTCAGAAACCTATAACCTTAGCACTGGGTGGTTCTTTTGTGCAACATTGATGTGTTGAGCATCAATGGGTTTAGAGATACTGAGTGAACTTTTTGCGCAACTTCATTTTATTCAAATGTTGGGCATCAGGGAGTTTAGAGATACTGAGTGAACGTTTCCTTTTTTTACTTTGGAAATTATTTTTTATAATGCCATTCCTGACTTTTCCAAAGGTAAGCAAGCCTTGTCATTGCTACTGCTACCTTCTCCAACCACCTTCTCTTACACACGCAAGTCTGACCACAGAGCATTGTGGGGAGCAAGACATGATCTAATCCTGTCACTTGACCACAAAATCTGCTATAGGGGTGCCATACCACTGATGACTTCCATTGCTGCTGTAGCTGCTTATTCTCTGGTTGCTGGTCTGTGTAACTGAGTAACACAGCTTTGAAAATGCACCTTCCAAAAAGGTCCACAACATGTGCTTGACATTCACATAATTTTCATGCACCTATAGGGACAGATGACAGGCCTGAACATCTTTGCAATGTCTACTATTCATTAAGATAGATTCAGGTGGGTAGCTGTGTTGGTCTGAAAAACAGAACAAAGTTTGAGTCCAGTGACACCATTAAGACCAACAGAGTTTAATTCCATGTGCACTGGATGAAGTGTGCACACGAAAGATTATACCCAGAATTAAACTTTGTTGATCTTAAAGGTGCCACTAGACTCAAAACTTTGTTCCACTGCTCATTAAATGAGCTTACCTCTCAAAATTCAAAATAACTGGTGGGGCTATTACAGCTCTTTTTAAAAGTTCCCTTTTAGCATCAATTAAAGTTTAGTAGTCTAGAATTAAAACTTCATTAGTACTGGGACAATAAAACAGTTGGAATTAAGACAATTGACTGGGACATAGAATAAAGCAAACAGATGCACCATAAGCAAAAGAGTAAGATTTATATTGGGGTTCACCAACAATGAATTGCATTGATATAATCAAAAACAGACTGGAAACCACCACTGTTTTATATCATAGCTAATCTGTGGCTGTATTCCAATGAAGTGTTAAGGGAGTGGCTTATATGGAGATCCCTCTATAAGTCTGAGTGGTGGACACTCATGGGAACTATCTGATATGTGGCATGATTATGGTGGTACCTTCTTAGCTCACCTCACAATATCAAGAAACTCCTGATGGTCATGTATCTGAACATGTGTCTTAGGGAAGAGGCCATGACTCAGTGATAGAGCATTTGTTTATTTAATTTGATTTATATCCTGCCCTCCCCCGCAAACAGGTTTAGGGTGGGTCACAACGTATCAATTAACACATAATATAATTGAGCATTAAAACAGTAATTTAAGCAAGTTAACAATGAAATGACATATAAAAACCATACAATCAAGGCAGAATACAACGGCAACTAGTCAGGTAGTTCAAAGCGCATCTTCGAGGATGTTAATTTGATGGTAGCTAATAGCAACCTTTTCCTGGCAATGCTCTGTTGGTCTCTTTGATTAGGGCAGGTCACATCACAGTGGACACCATAAGCACTGCAAGCGGTATGAGTCGTGCCAGCAGGGGAGGCCAAGATGAATTAGATGCCCGCCACCTCAGTCAAAGGCCTGGCAGAACAGCTCCGTTTTACAGGCACAGTGGAACTGTAATAAGTCCCACAGGGCCCTGATTTTAAGCGGGAGCAAGAAAGCGTTCTGTAAGAAAGCATCTGCTTGGCATGAGAGGGCCCATTCCTTGACATCTCCCGCTAAAAGGATCAGGAGGTAGGTGATGAGAGAGACCTCCACCGGAGACCCTGAAGAGCTGCTGCCAGTCTGAGTAGACAACACTGATCTTGATGGACCAATGTTCTCATTCGCTATAAGGCAGCTTCATGTATTCCACCCGCATGTGTACAGCCACCCCAAAGAACCACTCCTTTAGCCAATATCTCACCAGTTTCCCTGAATGCATTTGTTGAACCTTCCTTCAGAATTTTACACAGCTTGGTAATAAGTAAGCCTTGGAGATCAAAGGAATCATATTTCAGTGCATATTACCTTCTCTTGATACTGACGCCTTGAGGAATCCAAAGACTGAATTAGGGCCGTGGCATGACCCACGAACATGGCATAGCAGGTGGCCCCCACAATCATGCTCAGCATGGTTATCCACAGATCCGACATGCTGACGGGGGCTCTGGCTCCATAACCAATGCAAAGCATGTGGCTCATGGCTTTGAAGAGGGCATATGAGTACTGCTTCCCCCAGGAATCATTCTGCAAGAAAGAAAAAAAAGACGTTCAGTCAGATAAAAGTATAAAGGGCCGATTTTTTTAAAAAAAGGATTCTGTGTTTAGGAACACAACAGCTTGCTCATTTTCAATAGACAGCCTCATAACATATCAGTCCTAAAAGAAGAGCCATACCAATTATCACTAAACTTTTCCAGTAACATCTTTTTGAGAAGCTGACAGCTCATGCAAACAAAATAGTGTTTCGCATCACGGCTCCCTTCCTCAATACCGCATTCTTAATTTCATTCCAGGAAAGGGGGGGGGAGAGAGAAGAAAACATTCAAGGCTATGAAGTATATAAAGTGTTATTTTTATATCTAGAACGATAAGTAGATGCAAGCTAGTATGTCAGAATCCCTTGACAGTGCTGATCACACGATCGGGGAAGACAATCCAAACTCCCCTCCCATGATGGTCTATGAAAGCTGAAAGCACAGAACCTTTGTTTGGCACTGTGTGCATATTTCCAACCCTGTAAGAAGGAAATGTTCACAGTGCTAGATGCAGGAAGGGAGGACTGGAGTGTACATTGGAGTACACAATGGATTGCAACTCTTTGCTTGGCATATAAACATGCACAGAGACATGGACCCTCCAAAACAAAGTTCCACTGTCCCTTGTCATACCACACAGGCCTCATTTAAACATTGTATGAAAACAAATTGCATGGCTTGCCTAACGTTATGGTTTGCCAGGGTGATCAGGGCCCCCCAAATACTGTCCCCTATCGCCAGCCCTTCAGCAGCCCTGCACAAATTCTCACTGTGCGGTGCAAATCTGTACAGAATGTCAGGTAGCTTAAACAACAGTGGTCTGTTGTCACTTCCTCCTTTCTTTGTGGCTCAAAGCAGAAGACAGCTGGAAACACATTAGCAATATATCTGATGTCTTGTTATCTGTTTTTTAAAAAGTTGTTCTACAAAGATTTAAATAAAAATAGGAGAAAGTAGCTCCAAGAACTTTTTCCCAGCTGCAAAATGTCTACTTGGGTAAACAATGTATACATTGCTTCTGGAAGATTACAAAGGCTCTGGATTAAGACCTCTGGAAGCAAGCCTGACATCAAGCTGGAGAGATGTTATTGATAAAGTCTCCATGGTCCCAAGTCTTATTCCAGCAGTAAAGATACAGTTAGAAAGCTAAACTGCACAGGATACCAAATCTAGTACTCACATAGGCCCAGATCATACACACAATTAGACCTGCCATAGGCGCGAATGCCGGGTGGATTTAAAGGGTGCGATCATACAACAACATCTGGGAAGCGCCCCGCAGCCATTGGCAACCTGTTCTGCTCCGCTGCAGAAGCGGAGTTAAAAGACAACAGGGAAAATCCAGTAGAAAACGGATTGCGACGGGCCACGGATGGACTTTCCCATGTCTGATTGCTCCAGCGCGCTCTCATGGTGTCGGGATGGTCTGATCAGGCCATCACGGCTCTGTGCCATTGTCCCCCCCCCTCTCAGTTGCACATCATTACAAACTCCATAGGGAGCCCTCAGTGTGGAGATTCGATTAATCGATTCCTCGTTTAAGCGCATTGGAAGCAAATGGCAAAAAAAGAGACTCGCCTGCGGTTGCGTCTGATCACACACTGTCAGGCTGCGCCTGCAGCTTCCAAGGATGGTGTGATCACGCAACTGTGGGTCAAATTCCTCCGGAGAAAATAGCCTTGCTTCCCCCTGTTTTTTCTGGTGCGTGTGATCGCGACCATAGTTTAAGTCACCAGCGACCATGCCAGGAAATCAGAGCCCATTCTTGGCATAAGCAGTCACTTGCAGAGCCGGCTTTATCCTTGGCCTTCTCAGTTAGTCCTGTCCCTTTCCCATCCTCCCGTCCACTTTGTTCAGCTGTAGTCTGAAGATATTTGGATCTCTTTAGAAAGAGCCACTCCTCTTTACTTGTTTGTGGTGGGATCGTGCTTGATGAAGACTACAGCTGAACAAATAGGGGATGGGGGACAGAAGTCGGGCTGGGTAGGTCAGGGCTGAGTCCTTATCCCAACCACTTCTCTTCTGTCATCTGCTGACTTATTTAGAAGCCATCACTGTCCCCGTACAATTGATCTTATCCTTTCTGCTGCCCCTTACAGCTGAACAGTTGAGAGAAGAGAAGAGATAAGTACTGGTTCCAGAGGCTTCGATCCGTGCTAGCAACACAAGTGGGTTCAAAATATTTTTGTCTTGGATAGAGCAGTGATCTGTCCTGGGCACATGTGTTTTCTCTGCTCAGTAAATCAAAAGAAGAGAAATATAAAAAAGAGAGTTCCTGTTTTGTGGTTCCCTAGCTTTGTGTATATGGATGTGTGTCCACTGCAAAAGCTGGATAGGGAGGGGAGCAGCTACGTAGGTTATGCTGGATGGATAGTAGCTTTCTCTCCTCCACCTTTTCTGATATAAAAGTGCCTATTATTGCTTATTTATTGCCAGAAAAGCACAAAAATGGAAGGGCTTCTTTATATAGTAAACATGAGCATTTTCTACAAAAGTGTAAGAAATGGCTTGGGAGACTAATGAGCCATTTTTTATGATGTTGTTCCCAAAATATGAAACCACAAACACATCGTCATCTACTAAAGAGCTCCCTCAGCTTCCTGACATATTTCTGTGAGCACAGTTTAGGGATGCCAGCCTCCAGGTTGGACCTGGGGATTTCACAGGACTATAGCACATCTCCAGACTACAGAGATCAGTTTCCCTGGAAAAAATGGATGTTTTCGAAAGTGGACTCTGTGACATTGTACCCCACTGAGGTCCTTGTCCCCTCCAGGCTCCATGCCTAAAACTCCAGAAGCCCTCGCCCCCCCCCCCATCCCCTGCTGGTGGCAGGGGAGACTTGGCAACACTAGGACGAGCTCTCTGGATTTTTTTTCTTGTATCAGTACTGTGACTTTTAATTGGGTAGTATATGTGTGCGTCTGAGAAATACGCCCACATGAAACTGCTTATTTAAGAAAACAAAGTCCACATTGTTTGTGTGATGTCATCAGTGTTGCCAAGCTCAGCCAGTGGGAGAACAGGTGGGATGGGTGGATGGGGAAAAACCTGGAAGTCAGTCCTTTCTAGGTATTGACAGAAACTCTGTGATTTTACCATAGAATTCCCAGGAATTCCTAAAGAATGCCTAGCCAATGGTGATTTAATTTTGTCTCCATGGGCTGCTGGAGTGCCAAAGGGCAAGGCCTGCGGGGGCTGGTAAATCTCCCACCCCCGGTGGGCACATCCCAACCTTAGGTCACTTATTTTTTCCCTTTATCCATTACTTGCTTTGTGCTTCCTCCTCTTCCCACCCAATTGCCTTTTCTTTCTTAACAATAAATCACTCTGACATTCTATTCAGTTTGGAGCTTAACCTAGCAAAAAAAAAACCCTCTTGTGTTTTCTTACAATAATCCTATGAAATTACTTGTTATTTTGTAGGCCCAAGTATTCAGTGAGGCATGAAAGTTATTTTGTGTATGCTCTGAGGCATTGCTTTCTTAAAGATAATGCTGTTATCTCATTTAGTATAGTTTCTGTGAACAGTGATAACAATATACCAGTATTCCAATATCTACAATTAGCAAGTTTTCTGTTGATAAGAATACACAAGAGTGTGATTATGAACAACTTTGACCTATTTTAATCATTTGATGGCCACCTCTGATGAAAAGGGCACTCTCTCACATTTCTAATGTATTAAGAACAAGTACCACTTGGTTAAAAGTTACGTTAGAAATGGCAAAAGGGGTTTGGTTATGAAATTAACTCAAAGGTTTTGTCCTTTTTAACTGTGTACAGAATTGTCCTTTAGTTTTAGCTTTAGTTTAAGATTAGCTTTAGTTTAAGGAAGAATGCCCTTTAAAATGTTACATCACTGGCATCTTTCCCCAACTAGACTGGGCAGGATATATAATGGATCCAGCAACCTTTGCTGGTTTTGTGATGAATATATGGTGGAAGTGTATTAGGACAGAGACCTTTTGGGAAAGTTTAGTATGCTAAATAGAGCCCTCCCTCCTTAAGGTAAAATGAGCCATTTGTAATTTAAAGGGCATCCCATATTTCAGATACCACAGCTCCAAAGTGTCCTGCCCAGATTTAGAGCAATAACACACATGGACACACATGAAGCTACTATATTGAATTAGACCACTAGTCTTTCAAGGTAAGTATCTTTTACTTAGACTGGCAGCAGCTTGCTCTCCAGGGTCTCAGGTGGAGGTCCAATTACCTACTAATTGGTCCTTTAAACTGGAGATGCTGGGGACTGCATGATACACTGCATGCCAAACAGATGGTCTACCACTGAGCCACAGCCAAAGAACTGAAATAGCTAGATGGACAGGCAACGTAGGGCTGCCAGGTCTTCACGACGTGCTGGTGGGTAATGGGAGGGAGCCTTCTGAGAATGGGGGCAGGGCTCTGCCGCTAAACAGTGATAGCACACGGCAACATCCCTGACATAATGACATCATGTGGACATCGCGTCAGGGACATTGTGCGGCAACACTCTGCTTTAAGGGCAAAATGCTATGGTAAAATTGCCCTCAAACCATAGAGTTTTGCCCACAGTGTTTGGGGGGAGTGCTAGAGCATTGCCCTGGTGAGATGCTGGTGCTTCTGGGTCATGCCAGAAGTAACATCACTGAGTGGTGACAAAGATCACTGCCTCCCACAGTAAGCACCTGCCTCCCCCAATCTCCTGCTGATTAACATGGTGACTGCATGAAATAGCATGCTGGACTAGATGGACCCCTGGTCTGATCCAGTGGACTCTACTTATGTTCTTAAGAAGCAGTGAAACAAGCAGTTGTTACTCAACTTTATATATACCTTCCATCTTAGAAGGTAATCCTTGGTCCATTTTAGTATTCAGCCTGACATCAACCTAGAGGACATTTCACCAGGACAGATGGCAATATTTTTATCCTTTTCAGGCTGAAAATGAATGGTTGATACGCCATCAGAAGGGTGCAGGTGAGCATTCCTAATCCTCTGGCT